GCAGGCGCAGCCGGGGATAGAGGCGGGGGCTGAGGTGAGAGTCCCGGGTCCCACCTGATCTCTGTCGCTGACCTCGGGCCAAGTGCAGTCGCTGCTTGTATCTGCTCTCGTTGCTGTAAGTCAGAGTCACTGTGGGGCCAACCTAAGGTCCGTCTCGTCACTGGTGGTGCCTTATAGCGAGTGCTTGGTGAAACGGTTAAGCAAACTTAAGATCCACGCACACACGGTTTAGGCTGGGTAGTAATTCTGAGCTAACTGGAAATGGGTGGTGGTAGCTGAGCTATGGTATCTTGAGAGCTTGCTTCAGAACAAACTTTGCAAATGTGGGAATGAAAGAAGCCTTTGGATGAGTTTTAAATAGTTTATTTCCCTTCCTGCTGCACTTTGCAGGCAGTGCTCTGCTTGCACTTTGTGTTGCGCACAGCCTAGATATGGGATGATTGCATGCACAGAATCAATATGCTATTGGAGTGGTATCTATTAAAGTGTTGCTCTAATACATACACTTAAGATAAATTCAGGGAAAAGGAAATAACTTTCCATTTTTTTTTTTGATGAAACTATTAAGCTATCCAGAATTATATTATACATCTAAAAAGAAAAACTGAATGCAAGAAGCTTTGTGATGCTTTTGGTAAAGTGCCCCCTTAATCTCAGAGGAGAGTAATGCTGTGTAATTGCAAAGTAGGTTACTAAAGGCTTGTTGCAGTTAAGCAAATGAAGCAGTCCACAATCTAAAACTAGGAAAAGAATCTTCTTTGGATGCAGCCAAACATGCCTGCTTTACCCAAGTGGGTTGAATTCTTTATTAGCTCTTGGAAATGGCTTTCTAAGGGATTTACAAACTTTTTGTACTGTACAGAAGCACTACATGCTCTGAAACTTGAAGCCATTTGATTTTATACTCATACGGAACAGAATATACCTACTTACGCTTTTCCTCATTCACCTGTTCCTTGTACTGATAATTATTTATTTTAGTTTATGCTTACTTTTAAAATATTTTGCTAATGTTCTGTATATTTTAATTGCTGGCATAGGAAATGATTGTTCTGGTTTGTTAGTATTTTTCAGTGGAGAAGCTAGTATTATTACTTTGTCACCTTTATGCACTGTTTACTCAGTGTGTAAATAACTATACTAATTGACTATTGCTTGCTTTGTTTTTTCTAACTCTTCTAAGCACTGAGTTACATAATTTTTTATTTTACTTCTGCATCTATTAAAACAGTCTGAAATACAGCCCAGAGGAGAGATCCCACTTGCAAAATCACTTGTCCAATGAGTGACTGGCTCTGTGCTGTCCTTTTTCCTGGGGATCGAGAATGGACCCCTCGATCCCCCTCATTCTGGATGAGTTACTTTGTCAGCCTGACATTTGCTGCTCTGTTCTGATGACTCTGCATCCATTACCAGAATGACATGGATCATTAAAACAAAATGCAGGAATACCTGGGGATGGAATGGGAGCTGTTTCTATCTTGTGCCATTGACCTGATGCGTGCTTATCAGTCATAGAATCATAGAACAGTTTGGGTTGGAAGGGACCTCTAAAGGTCATCTAGTCCAACCCCCCTGCCGTGGGCAGGGACATCTTCAACTAGATCAGGTTGCTCAGAGCCCCGTCCAACCTGACCTTGAATGTTTCCAGGGATGGGGCATCTACCACCTCTCTGGGCAACCTGTTCCAGTGCTTCACCACCCTCATTCTTCCTTAGATCTAGTCTAAATCTACCCTCCTTTAGTTTAAAGCCATTCCCCCTTGTCCTGTCACAACAGGCCCTGCTAACAAGTTTGTCACCATCTTTTTTATAAGCCCCCTTTAAGTACTGATAGGCTGCAGTAAGGTCTCCCCGAAGCCTTCTCTTCTCTAGGCTGAACAACCCCAACTCTCTCAGCCTTTCTTCATAGGAGAGGTGTTCCATCCCCCTGATCGTTCTTGTGGCCCTCTTCTGGACCAGCTCCAACAGGTCCATGTCTTTCTTTTGCTGAGGGCTCCAGGGCTGGATGCAGTACTCCAGGTGGGGTCTCCCCAGAGCAGAGTAGAGGGGCAGAATCACCTCCCTTGACTTGCTGCCCACACTTCTTTGGATGCAGCCCAGGATACGATTGGCCTTCTGGGCTGTAAGCACACATTGCTGGCTCATGTCCTGCTTTTCATCCACCAGTACCCCCAAGTCCTTCTCGGCAGGGCTGCTCTCAATCCCTTCATCC